CTATGGAATAACAAGAATACTCGTTGATTTACATTTGTTGTTTTTTTGCACTGTTACTCTTGCCCTTTACCAGCGAGGATGCTGACTAAAGGGATTGTCATAAAACCCCAAATATACCCGGTTAACTATGTAGCACTATGCAACACAAGAGAGACTACAGCATCAAGCGCTTATTCGAGTCTGCCTGTAACTATGATCAATTTTCTGAAAAATACTTCAATCATACTTTATAAAAAAAGTGTCGAGAGGTTGCTAAAACATAGTTTCCTGTTTCCAGTTTGTGAGATTTGACTTATATCTCCGTCAACTGGTTAAGAATCATTTCGCTTCTTAGATAAATGAGAATCAAGTGATTGATTCACCCTTTAATTCATAGAAATCTTCTGCTTTACCTTTAGCTAATGACCGGCACATGAACACACTAGTCAAACAGCTTACCTCATGCTCCATGTTGCTGATTTCATCCTTCCACGTCTGTAATTCGTCTCTCAATACCATCATCTCCTTGTTGGCCTGTCGACTGCTATGTTCGTTCTGTCGAATATCGTCCATTACGTTCTGATGCAAAGCGTGGGCTCTCCGGGTCGCTTTATTCGCTACCTCGATCTGTTGCATCAGTTCGGTATAGTTCTGTGGAAGAAGGTGGGATCGAACGAAGGCAACTGGAACGATGGTGACTGATGATAGTGGCAAGAAAAGTGTGCAAATATAAATGAAAAACGACTAGATAGAACTTCATTTTAAAAACGCTTGGGCTCTTAGAAAGCTGAAACTACAAGAAGTTTTCACGAGTGCAGATAACGACCTAAAGCTTAGTTTGTGCAGTTCTCGTTCATCCGTTCCGTTTTAGTCCTGATTATGGTGCAAAAACATTGATGACTATTGAGGCCAAGACATATTTAATCTCAGTTTTTGTTACAATTCCTGATAAATTTGAAGTTAGTGATTCAATATAAGAGATTTACCGAAGTCATGGAGGTGATGAAAATGCCAAATAATTGTCTAAAATTTCTCTTTATTTTGTAAAAAGACACGTAATATTATCGCACTCTTGCAAAAATAGCGTCTTTTAAGTATTTAACTGGTTTATATTACCATTATAGGGAGCTGTATTATGATTTTATAGCTTTCAGCATTATTTTAATAGAAAATAATAGTGACAAATTGATATTCCCTCTATCTATTGCAAATATGAAACTAAGAGGACCAGAAATGTAGCCATAATAGTATATGTGAGGAGTCAAAATAGCTTATTTAG